GCACACCTGTTGACTGTTGCCCCACCAGTGCTGGCAGATTGGGGTGAGGGCATCAGGTTTCTCCAGAAGTAGATGTGGACAAGTGTAGTCAGAGCAGGAACCACAGGCTTCGCCTTCCCTTTCTGTCTTCATGAGATGTTCAGCCTTGTGAGTTTAGAAGGGAGTGGCCGTCCAGTTTTATCTTTCTTCTTTGGCCCCCCAATTTGGCAGCTGCCCAGACTGGAGCCCAGGCACACCTGGGTTTGTCCCCTTGCCTGGTCACCCTTGGTGCTGGCTGTGTCAGCCAGATAGAGGCTGCGCTGCCCGCGGCCACTTGTGCTGCTGGTTCGGTGTCTGGGCAGCACAACGACCCTTGCCCCTCAAGCCTCCCGCAGCCTTGGACGAAGGACAGTCCCTGGCAGATAAGAGCATGCTCTCCGCTGTGGGGAAGGTCGCTTCCTTAGTCAGAGATCACCTGCGGGATCTTTCCTCTGCAGAGGTGTGTATGCAAATCCCAGCCTGTGCTGGCCTTCCTGAGGTCATCCCTGAACAGCCTTCTTCCTCCCAGCCTCTGCTCCACAGAGTAGCTGCGCACACTCCTGTGGACCCGCAGGCCCTCAGGAAAGCTGCAGCTCTGGGTTCTGTTCTCTTTTGTCCCCTTGGCTTTTGGGGTCTGAGCAGGGTGCTGGGGCTGACTGTCCTTTCGAGGGGAAGGGATTTGGCCTCAGGTTTCTCGGGGTGTCTTGGGAAGAAAGGTGCAGCTCGGCAGCCTCCTCCTCAGCCCAGGTGGCCATCTGGCCACCTCAGGGCAGGAGCAGAGTGGTGAGAAGTACACTCCCTGCCCTTCCTGGCACAGTGTGCTGGCTCCTGGTGTGCACCCAGGGCCACGGAGGGGGCCCCTTCTCCTTTGTTGAATGCCCACCCTTGCTCCTCCTGGGGTGTCTGCCCTTGCCTTGTTGGTTTCAATTGTGTGTCCACATCTGAAAGCAGTTTTTTCATGGTTTGACTCCCCGCAAACTGGGGACAGATCCCAGCAGGCTCAGCTTGTTGACATTGTCTTTAGTAGGCACGGGTGTGACTGAGGAACCGCATAATACCAGGCAGATGTGGCTCCTGCCACCAACATGAATTTCTGTATCCAGATACCATCTATGTTGTTTGTTTGCATGTTTTAAATATTTTCACTTTTTTAACTTAAATACCTTTTAAAAGGAATCTTAGATCATCACTGTAAAGCAAACACCAATCATGTGCCATAGTGAATCACTGGAGTAATCCAATAAAAAATAAGCCGGGTGTGGTGGCCCATGACCGGAATCCCAGCTATTTAGTAGGTTGAGGCAGGAGGATGAGAGTTCCAGGCCAGCTTGTGCGAGTTAGCAAGAGCCTGTCTCAAGATGAAAAACAATACAAGGGCTGGAGATGTAACTCAGTGGTTCAATCCCCAGTCCTGAAAAAAAAGATTAAAATATCTGGCTGCACATAAACAAAAATGAGTGTGCTGTGTTGCCGTGCTTTGGAACGTGGGCTTGATGCGTGGCATTCCTGCCTGGCAGGGCCTGGTGCCTGCCCTGCAGTGGTGAGGACATCAAGGCCCATTGGTAGCCCCAGCCTTGGCGGGGAGCCTTCAGGTACCCTGAGAGAGGTGCCCATCTCCAGAGGCCCTGCAGGTTTTCCTGGGGCCAGAATGGGGGCACTGTCTGCCTCTGTCCGCTTCACTTTCCATGCTGCAATGGAGACCAGCTCAAGTATCTGTCCACCCTATCCCTTAGAACAGCATCACAGTACATCTGGAAGGAGGCAGCCTCACCATTGCCTTGGTGAGCACAGTGTCCACTTCCTGTTCCATTTTCAGGATGAGGACATGCAGGAAGTGTAAAGGTGAAAGGAGCTACCTAGTGGCCTGCGCTGGGGAAATCAGCAGCGAGGTTTTCTCTTCCTTCCTGGATTACTTTCCAGGTAGCACCCGGATGTGCCTATAGCCCTTAGGTTTGGGCTGAGATAACAGGGACTTAAGCCTCAGTCATCGTGTCCTTGAGGAGGCTCTGAGTGCTGGGCGTTGCTGCTGCCCTGGATTCTCCACAGGGGACAGGCTTGGTGCCTGCTGGCTCGTGGCCATCAAACAGGTTCTGAGATCACCAGCCGGCAGCTGTTCTCATGTTCCACATAACCCAGGTAGTGCTGGTCACAGCCACCCCAACACACGATGGGTGGTGGAGAACCCCTCAACAGGAACAGCAAGCCCTGTGGAAAGCGTGACGGCAGAGCTCCTGTGAAGAAAGCAGCACCCTTTCCTGAGAGCCGAGTAGAAGACACAGTGAATGGCATGGTGCTCTGATAGGTTCCTTCTTTCTTCCTTCTTTCTGTTTGGGTCTTGCACTTGGCAGGCAAGTGAGCAGCTCCCCGAGTTCAGCCACGACTGAGCCACATCCCAGCCTTTTTAATCTTTCATTTTGAGGCAGAGTCTTGCTTAGAGCTTGGCTAACTCACATAGCCTTGGCTTGAACTTGGGATCCTCCTGCGTCAGTTTCCCAAGTCGCTGTAATGACAGGTGTGTGCCACTGCGCCTGCCCTGTTAATGAGCTTGATGACACTCCAATCCAAAGCCCAGTGGGATCTGGAGAGCAGTGCATGACACAGTGCTGCCAAAGGTCTTCTATAGGTGAGCACAGGCAAGGTGAACCGAGAAATCTGAAAGTCAAACGCATTCAGGGTTTTGAATATGCCACAGGCCGAGACACATACAACTCTAGCATGAGAGTAGCTGAGGTGCCAGGCATGCTGGTGCTGGCCTTCCGTCTCAGCAACTTAGTGAGGACCTGAGTGTGAGCACACACACCTCCAAGTGGCACTGCTGTGCATCCCATCTGCACTGGGGAGGGTGGCCCTGCCCGTCCTCTGGGGTGATGAGATGAAGTCACCTTCTCTGTGGCCCACAGGTCGTCCTCACAGTGATCATCCTATTCGGGCTATGGCTTGTCACGGTCCCGATCCTGGTCCTCATCCTACAGCTCCTACTCCAGCTACTCTTCCGGACACAGGCTAGGGAAGTGGCTCAGTGGTTAAGCACTTCTGGATGCTATCCCCAGTACCCACCCCCCCCCAAAAAAAAAAAATAGCTAAGGTCAGTGGAAGAGCATAGCCCATGAGAAGCCCCTGCAGAAGAATAAGAGTCTATATTCACCAAAGGTGGCATCGTGGGCCCTGGGCAAGAGAGGGCGCTAGCAGTGCTGCAGACCACTTGTGAATGGAGGAGGAGCCTCCCTGTAAGCCGCGCTTGGCACCTGGCGCTAGTGAGGCAGGGTCCAGGGAAGCAGGTGGGGGGTGTGGATTACCTGGAAGAAAAAGTCAGGTGAATGTGACTGAGGAGCAAAGAGGAGCCTTCTGAGCCCAAAAGGATGCATGAGGGAGGGCAGCACACTGGGGTCTGCTCAAGTCAGAGGCCACAGCCAGCCACAGTGAGCCAGCCACAGCGCAGGACAGTGAAGAAGAGCTAGCTCAAGGCTGCAGACAAGCAGAGGGCTGGACACACGCAAGCCCAGCCTTGCCAATCTCCAGCCACATCCTGTCTGCAGAGCTCTGTTTTGCTGGCTTTCATCTGTGTGTGCCACCATGGTAGGGAGCGGTGCTGCCAGCCCTGTGAGTGGCTTAACCCTCAGGGGAAGAACTTGCTATTTGCTACTAATTCCATTTATTAGGAATTTGCTCTAAATTAAAAAAAAGAAAAAAGCTATGATGATTTTTATAAAAAAAGGTCATCTTACTATCTTGTGTTTTTAAAAAAGAAACCCCAATATCGAAATGTTCAGAGGGTGAGAAATCTCAATGAATTCCCCTGCAGTCAGAGACAGCTCTCAACACAGGTGGAAAGCCCTCCTGGGCCAGCCAGGCAGTCCCTCAGCAGGCCCAGAGGCAGCATGTCCATCCTGGGAAGAACTCAGGGCTGAGGGAGACGCACAGAGGTGCTGAACATCGGCAACAGGGACTTTTATCTTCTTAATTTTGTGTATTCCAGAGATTTCAAATGAACTTTTGTGATTTCTCTACTGAGAACAGATTCCTCCTGAATAGATACTTTTGTATTAGGCACTTACATTTTCAGGTTTTCTCTAATCATTATAATTAAGTTACTTTTCTGCTGGTCCTGGGGCTCTAGGTTTTATGTCTTTGATGCAAACTGTTTGAATCTTGAGGCATTCTGTTGGCGCCAGGCTTCCCAGTTAGGAGCCCAGCCTGCCTTCCGCGGGCAGAAGGCTGCAGTCTCTGCTCAGTTTCTCTCCAGCACAAGCCCTGGCCAGGGCATCAGAAGTTACAATTTTAGGACAGATTGACGATCCACGTCCTATCCCTCTCGTGCTTGTTTGTGCCTGGCCTGTGTGGTTGAGGAGACGGTCTGCCCACACGTGGCCCACCGGGCACTGTGGAGTCTGGCTTTCCTGTTTCCAGTTGGTCCTTCTGTGCCCACTTGCATGACCACATGCACCAGCCCCAGGATTTGGAGGAAGGTCCCTCTGTCCCCTCTCCAGCCTACAGCCCCACCCAGCTGCTGAGGCCAGCCCTGTTGGGAAGGCTGGGAATGCGCTTTCTGGGGTTAGTCAGGGTTTTTTCCTGACTGCACTGTAGCCAGTCTTCACACGTAAGTCAGAGGCAAAGTGTTGAAGACCTAGACGTGTTCATTCACAACGTTTTTATTGCATTTGAGAAGAGTGATTTTTGTTCCTTTAATCTCGTAATTATTTATGATGTGCAGCACTACAGACAGATGTTTCTGGACGTCACAGTCCCCAGCTGACGGGATAGAAGTTAAATAAGTGATCGTCATAAAAAGCAATTGCTGTCATGGTGAGGAGACAGGGTGTTCACCTGAGAAGGACTTTGGCTGGCTTTAGGGCCACCCTCAAGGAGGCCTGGCTGCCTCCTCCTGAGGTTTCCTCAGCTCTGTCCCGAGTTGCCTCGGTCTCAACAAGCAGCATTGCAGGGAGAGGGCAGGCAGCCTGAGCATTGCCACTGTGTGATTGCAGCCGTCAAGCTGAGCCACCAAAGAAGGAGGCCGCCTCTGTGGGGCCGCAGGTGAAGCGAGCAGATGAGTGGAAGGACCCCTGGCGACGGTCCAAGTCTCCCAAAAAGAAGCTTGGGGTTTCCGTCTCCCCTAGCCGGGCACGAAGGCGTCGAAAGACCTCAGCCTCATCAGCGTCTGCCTCCAACTCCTCCAGGTAAAGCGGCAGCCTGTGAAGCTGGCTGGCCAGTGGGTGTCCACTTACTACCAGGCTGCCTCTCTGTGTGTGCTGCTGCCCAAGGGCAGGGCAGTGGGATACCAGGTAGGACTGATGCTGAGAACCTCAGGAAGTCTTTACTTCCCCCAGAAGAAGCAGAAGCAGGCAGGCTGGGGGACCCAGAAGGGAAAACAAAACACCAGGCTGGCCGGCCGCTGCTGGGGGTCATGTGCCACCCCAGGCCCTGAGAAGGAGGTTCTGGGGCTGCAGACAGGAGCTGTGCACACTGTGAGCCGGGCAGCCAGGTTCTCAGGGAGTTTGCCTCAGCAGCTCCAAGCTGTGGCTCTGGGTGTGAGCCGAGTTAGAGACGGGGCTGGGTGGGCCCTGCAGAGCTCCGCAGGAGCAGGAGGCTCCAGGGCACAGGTGGGTGGGTGGGGAGGGCCTGGGCGCAGCGGGCCCCTGCTCCAGAACGGATCTTGGTTTCTGCTCCACTCTCCAGGGAGGGGGCTGGATGCAGCGCCTGCGCAGATGCCAGGAAGAGGGTCCGAGTGCCGGGTGTGCCTGTGTGTGGCTCTGCCTGAGTGTGAGCACATGCACCTCTGAGTGGCCCTGCTGTGCATCCCATCTGCACTGGGCAGGGTGGCCCTGCCTGTCCTCTGGGGTGGTGAAGTCACGTTCTCTATGGCCCACAGGTCGTCCTCACGGTCATCGTCCTACTCGGGCTCTGGCTCGTCACGGTCCCGATCCCGGTCCTCGTCCTACAGCTCCTATTCCAGCCGCTCTTCCAGACATAGCTCCTTCTCAGGCAGCCGGTCCAGGTACGTCCCCTACTGGGCTGGCGGCAGAGCCAGCAGGTCGTGTCTGCCACCAGACAGGTCTCATGGGGCCTGTCTTCAGCTGTTGGGGTTCCAGTGCCCATTGGTGGTCTGAAGAATGGTGTGGCAAGGCGCTGGCAATTCCCAGCACTGCAACAGAGCTGGTGCAGCCTGTCCTGCACAGCCATGTCCTCCACACCACCTTGCACAGAGAGGGCCACAGGGTGGACCATGCATAAGCCACATTCCTGGTATTCAGTGGCCTTGTGCTACTGATGGCACCATATTGAATGGCAGACATGGAAAGCTTCCATCGTTCTAGAACGTTCAGCTTTTTGTTGTATTTTCCCCATTGAAAATAGGCATTTTGTCACTTTTAGATAAGATTCTAAAATTCCACAAGCACATACACAGTATTCCGTGTCCAGTTTGTCTTGCCTGTGGGCACCCAATGATGTGGCCCCCTCTGGCACTCTCTGCCAGTGGGAGTGGAGAGGGCCAGCACCAGGCTCCAGCTCCATGTGGACCTTGCTGCACCGTGGTCACTGCGGGATCTTCTGGGAGGGGCAGCAGAGTGGCATCCAGCAGGGCGTGTGCACAGGGATCCTGGTCTCTCTCACTGGACAAAGGACCCCATTTATACGTGTGCAGCTGCCACTCTGGGAAGCATCGTCACCAGGTGTCTTGGAATAAGCTGTGTATACTGTGATGATCTGGTGTTCCCCCAGTGGTGCCCTTTCCTGCATAGAAGATTATCACGCAGTTGTCCAGTTGCGTTTTCATGAAACAGAGGGCACCTGCACACTGTCTGTCTCCTGCGACACTACACTTGGTGAGGCCAGTGAGCAGCTGAGACAGGAAAGGCGGAGTTCTTAACCTGAGGTGCTGCAGGGCCAGTCCTGGTGTACCTGTGCTCCCAGACACAGGCCTGGCTGGTTCCTGCGTCAGAGTCAATAGAACCTGAGACAGGTTGACACGGGCCCTCGTGTGAGTGGTTAGGACAGGAAAGGACAGTCAGAGCATCACCCTGGAATACTGTGGGGCTTCATTTAAGAGGCTGATGAGTTGTAGAGGAGAAATATTCACACCATGAGGCCAAGCTGGGCCGTTTGGAAATTTTGGACTTAGGAAGTCACGTGGGCGAAGAGTTAGGTGATCTTCGCTCTGGGCGTGCAGCTGACGATGATTACGGTCCCAGGAAGAAAGCCTTGCAGTGACATCGAACACCAAGGTCAGGGTTCCCAGGCCGAGAGTGGGGCTATGATGAGTGGTCAGGGCAGAGCAGTGGTTCCCTGTCCTGTTCTCCTGAGTGCCACAGGGGCAGGGGTGTGTCACGGCCACGTGGAGGCATGACAGCACCTCGTGTGTGATCTCCTCACCACTGAAGAGAGGAACGTCTTAGACACTGTGGGGCACTGGCCCGCCCTCAGGGGTGCTTGGAGCCCTGCTGCTGCTGAGCTAGGACCAGCTGTACGTCCCCCGAGGCAGGTGCAGGGTGCGCACTGGAGAGGGGAGCTCAGTCTGGGAGGTGGCTGGCAGGGCTGCCACTGGCTCTGTAAGAGCTCTTGAAGGTCCCTGCCTGTGCCTCTTGGTCCTCTGAGGCCAGCCTCCCCCTGGTCTGTAGGCGCTCCTGGAGGTCCCTCCCTGTGCCTCCTGGTCCTCTGTGGCCAGCCTCCCCCATGCCGTTCTCTGAAGGCAGCAGCGGTGGGACTGCAGGAGCCCCGTGAGGCCGCACTGCAGGGCTGGTGCTGCTGCAGTGGGGGGCTGCACGGGACAGCTGAGCAGGGAAGCTTGAGCCTTCCTCGACCCTCACAAACAGCAGCATCCTAGATTTTGTCCTTGGTGCTTTGTCTACCCTGCTGACACTAAGACTGTGTCAGATGGCTGCCAGCCCTGTCTGTGCCTGTCACCTTGACCTGCTCTGCTTGTGGATCTTTGTCACCCATACCTGTCTCCTGGTGCCTTGGGCCCCCTTCAGCCCCGGGCCTCTCTGGTCCCCCCACAGATCCAGAGCCCTGTCCACTTGGCAGCACATGGCCAGGTAGCCGGCTCAGGCGTCTGTCTCGCTGGCCATTCTGTGGGCTGTGGAACCAGCCCATGCCTTGCCTCCTGCATGCAGGCTCAAGGGCCTTCCTGGGCACAGCTGCCCCGGCACTCTTGTTTCTACTCTGAGGGTGTCTCTTTAACAAATGGTGGAGTGACCTGAAACCAAACTTAGTCTGAGACATTCTCCATGGGCTGGGGCTGGGGCTGGGGCTGTGTCCTGGGCTCGGCCAGTGAAGAAATGCGCTGAGCACTGGGGCCCTCATTGTCCTCTTTGCTCCCCAGGTCCCGGTCCTTCTCCTCATCGCCATCCCCGTCTCCCACGCCTTCTCCACACAGACCTCCCACCAGAACCAAGGGGGAACCGGCACCGCCCCCAGGGAAGACAGGGTGAGTTCTGAGCCGCCCCAGCTCCCCGTTCTGCGTCCACACTGCTCAGGTCTGGGGACCCCACCTCCTCCCCAGTCTTCTGCTCTGTGCTTGTGATTGGGCTAGAAGCATGGCCCCTGGAAGACGGGTGGAGGCAAGAGGCTCAGATCCTGAACCCAGGTCCTCCCACTACCTACCAGAGCCCCGAGGTGTGGGTGCCTTTCACAGGGACACCAGCCACGTCCCCAGCCCTGTCCTGAGCTTCTCTGTATCACAGAGAGAAGTCGGTGAAGAAGCCAGTCCCACCGCCCGTCCCACCACAAGCTACCAAAACCACTGCTCCTGCCCCTGAGCCCACCAAGCCAGGAGACCCCCGGGAAGCCAGGAGGAAGGAGCGGCAAGCCCGGTCGCCCCCCCGGAGGTGAGCGCTCAGGCTCTGGTCTCCCTGGGGGTGCTGTGTCCTGTGCCGCCACAGAGCAGGTGCTGAGGCAGAACTCCAGAGCACGGGAGGGCATTTGGGCCAAGTAGTGGAGGCCATCAGCTGAGCCCAGACCCAGAAAGCCTGTCCTTGACCTCTGCAGCTTTGGCTGGTCGTGTGCCCCAACTGAGCCTTGGTTTCCCTGGAGCACAGTGGGTGGGGTGACCACTGCCCACGGTCCCCAGGCTCCTGGGAGAGGGCTGTCTCAGTGCTGCTGCAGGTGCTGTCTGTGGGTACTTGGTTTCTTACTTGGAGAGGAAGCTGCACCCAGAAGGATAGCAGCAGACCCAACAGCGTGCAGGTGTCTGGCAGCGGTGGGCCTGCGTGCCCAGGGCTCTGCCTCCAAGCAGTGGCTCTGCTGTTGTGTTGCAGGCGGACGCTCAGTGGCAGTGGCAGCGGCAGCGGCAGCAGCTACAGTGGCTCCAGTTCCCGATCCAGGTCACTCACTCAGCCCCACTCCCCGTCCACCTTGGCCTCTGTCCCTCCCCAGGCAGGCTGGCCACACAGGGGCTCCAGCATGCAAGGCTTACCCAACCCTGACAGGCCTGGGCTCCAGGGCTGTGGCTCAGGACGCTGACCTCACACGAGAGCACCTGACTGTGGGCTAGGGGGCCAGGTGGCCAGGGCGCAGCCCAGAGGGGCAGAGCAAGGCTGGTCCAGGTCCCCTCCCAGGAAACCTGAGGGGAGGTGCTTGAGAAGGGCTGTGCTGCTGGGAAGGAGCGTGAAAGCCCGCCAGCCCTTGGCCTTACCCTGGGCTCCTTCCATTTCCAGGCAGCAGGCGGTTTGTCCATGTGTCCAGCTGTTTCTGAACATGTCTGAAGTGTTTTGAGGAATTAAAAAAAAAAAAATGCCTGGCATAGTGGCCATGCTTGTGACCCCAGAGGCTTGGGAGGCTGAGGCAGGAGGTGGCAAGTTCAAAGTCAGCCTCAGAAACTTAGTGAGACCCTGTTTCAAAATGAAAAATAGAAGCAACTGGGATGGGACTCAGTGGCCCTGAGTTGAGTCTTCAGTAGTGAAGAAGATGGAAAATGTTTGGGCCTCTTGTTTCCTTTCCTGTGTGCCATTGCAGCGCCTGACCGTCAGGAAGCGCTGTGCCAGCTGGTGGGTGGGGCGGGTTGGGGCCGCGTGCCTGTGCTGTGTGGAACCTGCGTGTGGCAGCACCACAGGGCACGCCCCAGGCGGTGAAGTCGCCACCCCCGTTCTGGTTTCACTGTAGGCTCAGACCTGCCATCTCCCGTGTTCCTCCCCAGCACACAGGGCCACCCTTCCTTAGTGAAGCACAGACCCTGGTTCAGTGGTGTGGCCACCCCTTCACTGTGGAGACCTTTGGGCCCCTCAGAGTCCCCCTGAAACCTCATGTCCCATGAGTGCACACTCCATAAGTGGGAAATCTGGGTCGAGGTGGCCATGGAAACCCACTGTCACCCCTCCTTGTAGCCTGCAGTCCAGACCCATGGTTGAGACTGTGAGGCACAGCTGTCTCGTGTGTCCAGGTCCCTGAGCGTGAGCAGTGTCTCCTCGGTGTCCAGCGCCACCTCGAGCAGCAGCTCAGTGCACAGTGTGGACTCAGAGGACATGTATGCAGACCTGGCCAGCCCTGTGTCCTCAGCCAGCTCTCGGTCCCCCACCCCAGCCCAGACCAAGAAGGAGAGAGGTAGGCTGGGCCCTGGTGTTCTGGAGGTGCCTTCAGGGCGGGCCTGGGAGAAGCTCTCTTTGGGTGTCCATGGTGCCTGGTGGTCGAGGTGCACATAGGAACCTGTGGGGACGCACCTGTGGCTGAGAGGTGTCATTGATTGGCAGGAAAATCAAAGAAGGAAGATGGTGTTAAGGAAGAAAAGCGCAAGAGGGATGGGTCCACACAGCCGCCCAAGTCCTCGAAGCTCCCGGCAGGCGGGAAGTCCTCCCAGCAGCCCTCAGCACCCCAGCAGGCACCCCCCGGGCAGCCGCAGCAGGGCTCCTTCGTTGCCCACAAGGAAATCAAGCTGACGCTGCTGAATAAGGTGAGGCCAGGGGCTGGGCTGGACCAAGGGTCTGCCTGCTCTCAGAGAGGGCTAGCCAGTGGCCTCTTTCACACCAGGACAGCCTAGGCATGTGCAGGCAGCACCTCTGGGCAGTCAGCCCCCAGGAGCTGCAGCCCACATGGCCTCTTAGGACTCCTGTGGCCAGCCAGTTCCCACGGAGCAGCATCAGGCCCACCACCGTCTCTGCTGTATTAGTCCCACAAAGTGGTGGCAGCCCAGGCCTGCCACCTCATGGTTCTGTGTTGTTTCAGGCGGCTGACAAAGGAAGCAGGAAGCGGTATGAACCATCAGAGAAAGACAGGCAAAGTCCTCCAGCCAAGAGGGCCAACTTATCCCCAGACCGAGGTGAGCCTGAGGCCCCAGCCAGCACAGCCCAGGGGTTCTCAGCATCCCGTCTTCTCTTGAAAACTAGCAAGGAGAATCCCGAAGAATTGTGTGCGATGTATCCATCAGTATTTATAGCATTGAAAACTGGAAATTTTTGTAAATACTTATTTACTTTAAAATAACAGGGCCTAAGGTGGTGTTAACCCCGGCAACTTGGGAGACTGAGGCAGGAGAGTCACAAGATCAAGGTCAACCTGGGCCTCTCAGCTAAATTCTGACTCAGAATAAAAAGGGCTGAGTGCCATGGCATACGCCTATAATCCCAGAGGCTCGGGAGGCTGGGGCAGGAGGATCGCAAGTTCCAAGCCAGCCTCAGCAACAGCAAGGTGCCAAGCAACTCAGTGAGACCTTGTGTCTAAGTAAAATACAAAATAGGGTTGGGATGTGGCTGAGTGGTTGAGGGCCCCTGAGTTCAATCCCTGGCACCCCCAAGAGGGGAAAAAAAGAGGTAAAAAGGGCTGAGGGTGTAGCTCAGTGGTAAAGTGCTCCTGAGTTTTCTCTCCAGTACCAAAAATGAATAACTTTTTTTGTCACGTTCCACGACTAACACACTCAGGGTCACTCTAGGGGAGCTGGGCTGCACAACATAACCACACAAAGAGTCAGGGACACCTTTTTCTTTGGGGCCCTGTGAGGGCTCCTCTGACCTCAGGGGTCCGTGAGAGCACTGCTGACCCCTTTTATTGAGGAGAAGCGATTCAGATGAGGCCAGGGGTCAGGTTTCAGGGGCTGAGTCTAGCTTCGCCATGTCTGCTGTCAGGTTGACTGACATTTAGGAAGGCCACACCCAGGGGCAGAGCAAGAGAAGGGGACACACAAAGGGAGCTTCCATGGAACATTCTATCCCAAACAGAGCAAAGGGGCAGTGTTACAAAGGAGCAGGTGAGCGTAGCTCTACCCCAGGGGTGACACCTGAAGACACGCCCTCAACTTCCTGAGCCAGGACAACGCCCAAGTCACCACGAAATGCAGTGATGGGCCAGAGCCTCTTGCTTCGGGATGGAAGGCGTGGGTCATCAGGGGGGCTCCCCACGTTTGTTTGTGTTTTAAGGCTGGGGTGTAGCTCCAGGCGTAGGGTTTGTCTAGTATGTAGGAGGCCCTGGGTTCCACCGTTGGCACTGCCAAAAAATTACCAATCATAAACCACTGTCTTTCAACACAAATAGCATTTTTTATGAAAAGCAACCATCTTCCAGAACAAAATGAAGAGTGTGTTCATCTTTTCTGCAAGTGCCTCTACCGTCTGTCTGGCAAAAGACAAGGGGTTCTTGTCCCCTGGCTGGCCTGTCCTGTGCGACACATGAGGAAAAGAACAGTGTTTCCCTGTCACTGTTTCACCACAGAGACCTAAAGGGTCTCGGGCCCAGCCATCCCCAGACCCTGCTTGGAGAGGCCCAGACCCAGGCAGAGACAGTCTTGCTGGCTGGCTTTGATGGGTAGAGCCAAAACCCAGGCATCCTCCCCTAAGGAGGTGTCCACCTATAGTAGGGGGCCTGGGCCTGGGCCCCTCACAGGAAGGAAACTGCCCACCTCTGCCCAAGCACCCAAGGTGGACTGCACCCTCAAGGGCCGGCCTAGGAGCAGCCTTTACTGTCCTTGCCTAAGGTTGCATGACCCTGGGTTTGTCCACCAGCCTGTGGACCTGAGCCAGGCACTGACCTCCAGTGCTCTCACTCCACGCCTCCAAGTCCAGGGCTTCCTCCCGTGGCAGTGGCATAGAACACTCGTGGTCTCTTGGTTCTGCTTCTGGTGTTTAAAGGGGCGTGCTCTCCTGCCATCCCATGTTGCCAGAGGCCAAGGTGCCAAGGCTGGGCGCAGCTCCAGGCCAGGCTGCAGCACTGGCCCAGCACTCGGCTGGCTCCTCTCTGTCCCTGGCTCCCTTCCTGCTCTGTTCCTGGTAAAAGCGGAGGTGTGCTGAGCTGCCCTGGGCTCTGGAGCTGGGCCCCAGGCCTGTGGCCAGGCCCTCCTGAGCGCCACCTCTGCGTAGCAGGCGACGGTCACACTCTCTTCCCTCTTGCCAGGTTCTCGGGACCGGAAGTCAGGAGGGAGGCTGAGCTCCCCGAAGCCCGAGCGGCAACGCGGCCAGAACTCCAAAGCCCCCCTGGTCCCCACAGACAGGTGCGTCCACCTGGGCCTGCTGCATCTCCCCCCGCCCCTACCCCTTAGCCCCCACCTTGCCAGCAACTGCCAAGGCCACCAGGAGAGGGCCGGGGCAGCCAGTGCAGCCCAGCCAGAGCCTGAGTACCTGATCTTGTTCCTTAAGCAGCCCAGGGCTCTGGGCACAGAGAGGTCTTGAGGTGGACCTCAGAGAGGGTAGATAACCAGCAGAATGACCAGGTGCACCAGGCCAGCCCAGGATTCTCCCAGTCCTTTCCCGCCAGGAGGGAGCCCTGGGTGTGCTCCAGCCTTCCACCTGCCAGGAAGCATCTCACATCTCCGCCTTCCCATCCCTGCAGGAAGCGCCAGCTGTCACCCCAGTCCAAGAGCTCCAGCAAGGTGACCAGCGTGCCCGGCAAGGCCACAGACACAGCTGCAGCCAGTGCCAAGTCCGGGAAGGCGAGCACGCTGTCGCGGCGGGAGGAGCTCCTGAAGCAGCTCAAGGCGGTGGAGGACGCCATTGCTCGCAAGCGGGCCAAGATCCCCGGGAAGGTGTAGGCCCGGCTGGCCCCCGGAGTGACTCGTGTTTTTATATAATAGGGTAAGCGCAGCCGTTTTGGATTTTGCAGTTAATGTCTTATTTTGGCTGTGATTCTTTTTAAAAATTAAAAAAAAGAATAAAAAAAGTTTCTCAGCTGGAAAAGAAGCCACACACAAAATGAAGATGATGCTGAGTCCCGGCCTCCCCCTCCAGAAGGATCGGTCCCTCCCGAGCAGAAGTCCCACCAGCAGACAGACAGGCCGGCCTGGACGAGGCGTGGTTTTATGTAAATTATAAGTCCCCGACACGTGGCCCAGCCTGCGATGCTCTCCTGCCTCCTGTCTCCACCTGCCGGGGCAGCCTCCTCGCTGGGCGCCTCTCCAGCACGCCTCCATGGGGACGAGACCTGAGCACATCTTCCTCTCCCTCACCGCCCGGATCAGAAGTATATATATATTCTTGACTCAAGTCTGATTGGGAATATTTCCTGTCTTATCTGAAGCTGAAGCATCAATTTGTTTTAGTTGATTTAAAAAGGAAAAAAAAAAAAGACCAAAAAAAAAAAAGGCCAAGGGTATTGGGGTGTCTGTCTAATGTGGAGGGTCTTTTTTTGAGGGATCTCCTAAAATAAAATATTTTGATAAGCAGTTTCCTGGCCTTCGTGGTGTATTGTGTGTCTACGTTGCCTGTCTCCGTCTCTCCAGCCAGACACCAGGCCTGGTGCACCCTATCCTGCACCCTGCCCTGCATGCACCCACACTCTTCCCTGTGGCCTCTAGTCTGCCCTGTGCCCTGCCCAGTGCCCATGCTCTGCCTGTGCCATGCCTTGTGTCGTGCACCCTGAACTCTGCCTTGTGTCGTGTACTCTGCCCTGCATGCACCTGACTTTGTCCTGCATCTGTGCCCTGCCCTGCATGCACCTGACTATCCTGCATCTGTGCCCTGTCCTGCACCCTGTCCTGCATGCACCTGACTCTGTCCTGCATCTCTGCCCTGCCCTGCATGCACTTGACTCTATCCTGCATCTCTGCCCCACCCTGCATCTGCGCCCTGCCCTGCATGCACCTGGCACCCTGCCCTGCATGCATCCTACACCCTCCCTTATACCCGTGCCCTGCCCTACACTCACACCCCGGCCTGCATGCACCTGATTCTTCCCTGCACCTGTACCCTGCCCTGCATCTACCTGTCCTGCATCCACTCCCTGCCCTGCATGCACCTGATTCTTCCCTGCATCCATGCCCTCCCTGCATTCACCCTGCACCGGCACCTGCCCTGCATGCACCCTGCACCCTGCCCGGTGTCCTATGTTCTGCCCCGCAGGAGAACAAGACAGCGGGGGCTGAGTCAGCCTCTTCCTGCTGGGGTGGCCCACCCTGGAGAGGTGGACTGCTCCGTCTGCCCTCAGCCTCTAGCCTGTAGTCAGGGCTCTGCCTTCACTTCTGGCCCTGTCTCCAGGGCTGCAGCAGGCCTTCCCTGGGACATGAGCTGGTGGCCCCTTTCACAGCAGCAGGCCCTGGACTAGGCAAGCAGACCAGGTTGGGCTGCCCTTGAGCCACAAAGCTAGTTGTCACCTGCTTTGAACATGTCACTAGACCGCTACCAGGTGTGTGTGTGTGTGCAGGTTTGGGGCCCAGACAGGCTGTGGTGCCTCACCTCGCTCCGGGGCAAGGTGCTCCTGCCCGTGGTGCTAAGTGCCCCACTCGTGGCCTCCAGGGCAGCGCCAGACCTCCTCCTCTGTTCTCACCTGCAGGGCCCTGTGCAGCCAGTGGCCTGAGGTCCTGCCCTGGGTAACAGGGCTACTCTTCGGAAGGCTGAGGGCACTGCGGTATGGAGTGGCGCTGGAAACAGGAACCCTGCTGGTGACTAACCTGCCCAGCTGGGTTCCATGTAACATCCATTTAAAGGCCCTGAGATTGTTCTTGTGTCAGTGACCTCGAATGTGTGCCCAAGGACTTTTTTTGGGGGGGAGGGTACCAGGAATTGAACCCAGTGGTGCTTAACCACTGAGACACATCCCCAGCCCTTTTTTGTATATATTTTTTTAGATTTAAAGACAGTCTTCCCGAGTTGCTTTAGGCCTTGCTAAGTCGCTGAGGCTGGCTTTCGACCCGCAGTGCTGCTCCGCAGGGATGGTAGGTGTGTGCCAAGACGCCTGGCTGCCCAAGGACTTTCCCCAGGTTTATCTGAGATGCCATCAGGTCAAAGCCAGGTGCCGGGGACTCCTGTTCTCTGAGGGATGGCTTTCAGAGGCCTGAGCCAAGCCAGGGTCACAGCCCAGGGGTCTGCAGAAGACCAGGAGAGGCCCCCTCTGCTCTGGCCCCCACCCTGGCCTTCCTGGGAGCCCTGCCAGGTCCCCCCAGACCGAAACTGGGTTTGAGCTTCTCGCTGAGGGCAGCTGTCCATGCTCTGGGTGTCCAACCTCCTCAGGCCAGGATGGGGTGCCCTTCAGAGGCTCAGGAAGGTTGAAGGCCTCACCCCGACCCACTGTCCCCCCTTTGGTCTAAGTGGTGAGCACTTCCAGGCAGGCACTGGGACAGGGGCCTCTTTGTGGAAGGGGCATGGCAGCGACAGGCCAGCTGTGGCGTGGCGGTTTCCTGTACCCTTTCCGTGGCCTGCACACCCCACCTACAGGGGTCGCAACAACAGGCCACCACTGGGCAGCAGCCAGCTGGGCTGCTGGCTGGAACCCAGCCCAGCGGGAGGCACCTGCCGAGTGACAGGCCGATTGGACCCCTGCCCTGGGGGACCGCTGCTCTCCGCGGGCAAGCAGCTCTCGGTCACCCGGCCTGTCGCGGGCAGCCACTGGGGCGGGGCCTGATTGGGTGGGTGGGGCCACCGCCCCTCTGCCGCCCTCTGTCTGGCTGTCCAGTCTTGCCCAACCCTGGACTTGTGCGCAAGTTTCCGCCAAGGAAGCCAGGCCGCCTGCGCCCTTGCCTTCGGGCGGTGTCCGCAGAGCCTTGCCCTCGGGTGGTGTCCCCCAAGTCACCTGCGCGAAGAGGGCTCCCACCGGCCATTGAAACGGAAAATGCAGCCGGGCAGGCGGCGCCCGCCTGTGATCCCAGCAGCTCCGGCGGCTGGAGCCCAGCAAGGGCAGCTTGGCGACATCCTGTCTCAAAGTAAAGAAATTCAAAGGCTGGGTGTGGCCCAGTGGTAGGGCACCCCCAGTTCAATCCCAGTGCCCCCCCGCAAAAATCGGAAAATGCGGAAACACCCCCTCCAGGGCGGAGGCAGGTGGACTCAGGTCATAAGGTAGCGACACAGGCAGGGGCAAACTTGACCCGGTCCGCCAGCCCCTCTTCCCGGCAGGTGCCTGGGCCAGGCGGCGCCCCTGCTGGGTCGGGCTCAGCTCTAGACTGGAGACTGGCTGGCAATAGGCAGGTCCCTCCCCACCCGCTTGGCATGAGGTGGCCCAGCGGCCTCATTCTGGTTGGCTCTGGCTGGGCCACCATGAAGTGGACAGCTTGGGATCAGGCATTCTCCGCCTCTCAGTACTGGGGGACCCAGGGCCCCACACCAACCCCTCAGTGTCACCCTCTGTCCTGAGAATCCAGGCCCTGTGGGCTCCTGGGAAAGGAACAGGACCAGGAAAGGGGGCCTGGCTGGGGCCAGCAACCGTCCTGCAGAGGCCGGAACCCCGCTCTGCCAGCCCGCATGCAGCTCAGAGCCAGCCACTGCCCCCGGAGCCGGTCTCCCTGCTATGAAGGCCAGGACCATGGCAGGAGCTGGCACCCGGCCGTGGCCAGAGGTGTCTCAGTCCTCCCTGGTCTGGGGCACAGGTGGGCTGTCTTGACACCATCCTGACCTGGGCCTGAGCCCGTGGACAGACCAGAGCTCTGGGAGAGGCGGCACGGGAGGGGTCCCTGGCTCCACGTGGACCTTTTGTGGAGGCACCATCTCCCCTCCAGCTTCTCCTTGCCTTCAAGGTAAGGTCGAGCTGACCGCCTACTGCAGGGGGCTCCCGTCCCTGAAGGGGCTGGGACCTGCTGCTCCCTGCCCTGCCCGCGCTCGGCTGCCAAGGCACCTGTCTTCCTCCCGCTGGGTCCGCCACCCTGACACAAGACACTGTGACCCAAGACAAGTGTGGAAGCAGGAAGGCCCGAGACTTGAACCAGAGCACCCAGAAACTGAACCCAGAAGCCTCCTGAGCCCCCAGCACCGTGTCCATGGGGTCCCCAGGGGCTGGACGTGTGGATCGGGAGGTCAGGCCCTGCCAGCTGGGGAGAGGCACAGAACATCTCAGGCGCCCAGCTGCAGGCCCCTACGGGCATTTGGGGAGGGGCTTCCCGGGGGGCGCCTGGCAGGTCTCAACCCTGGGCCCCCCAGAGGTCCCAGGACCAGAGGCCCCAGCAGGGAAGTGCCGCCCGCCCTTGGCCGGGCTCCACCTGCAGAGAGGTGGCCAAGGAGCCTGGAGTTTCTGCCCAGGAGCAGCTGGGGGCCTGGGGTCCCTCGGGTGCTCCTAGTGCAGGCGGCAGGCAGTGACCTCAGGGGGACTGGGGCTGGGGTCAGGGCTCTTCCCTGCGTCCCTTTGTGGGTCACTGCGGGAGCACCTGGGACGTGGGCATGGCTCTTGTGCCAGGCACAGTGGAGGCACAGTCCCTGCCCTGAGGAGCTAGTGCTGCCCCCAGGGGGGCTGGGGGCTGGAGTCTACCCTGCAGGAAGCAGGGGTCAGCCCGGGGGTCCCTCCCGACCTGGGCTGACCACAGCAGGGAACTAGAGCGGCTCTACTGTGTCCGCCAAAGAGTCTGTCCTCTCACCCCCACCATCGGGAACCTGCCCCCATCCTGTGGGAAGGTCTGGGCTTTGATGTGATTAAGAAAGGGGTTTCCAGGGGCTGGGGCTGGGGCTCGGTGGCAGAGGCTCAGTGAGCACGCACGAGGCCCTGGGCGCGGTCCTCAGCACCACATAAATGTAAAGACACTGTGTCCACCCAAAGCTTAAGAATAAATATTAAAGAAGAAAAAAGAAGTAAAGAAAGATGGGACTAGAATGGGCCCTAAATTCAATGATCCGTGTCCTTATAAGACCAAAGAGAGCCACAGGGAGAGGCCACATGAGGAGCCTGTGCCTTCTGAGCCAGATGGGGACCTTGCAGCCAAAGGCCAGGGGGCTTGAGGGTTGTCAGAGGCGCCAGAAGCTGTGGAGCCTGGCAGATCCCCCAGAGAACCCAGAGGGGCTCAGCGCTGTCCACCTGGACTTCAGGCCACATACAGACAAAGTCACTTGTTTAAAGCCACACAGCTTGTGGCACTGTTGGAACAGTCCTGGGAACCAGAATGGACAGTGAGCTCCCCGCCACAGTAGGTATGCAAGGGCGAAAACAGAGGGCAGAGCTGCCCTGGGGCTCCGTGCAGGGGGCAGTTCCTTGTTGTTTTGGGCGTGGGGAGTGGACCAGGGTTGCTGAATCGCTGAGCCACGTTCCCAGCGCCAGTGTTTATTTTGAGATGGGGTCTAGCTAAATGGCTGAGACTGGCCTTGAACTTGAACTTGCGGGCCTCTTGCCTCAGCCTCTGAAGTTGCTGAGATTAGAGGTGTGCACCCCATGCCCAGCTCCCTGCAGCTTTGACTCTCCTCCCTAGACAGCTGGCACCAGGCAGGGTGTCCTTTACCCACTACGTCTGCACACACTGAGGCCACAGAGCGGGAGCCCGAGTCTACAGGCCGCTGGGGGTGGTGCTGGGAGAGCCCCGTGTCGGGGCCTCTCTGGCCCACCACCCTCCAAAGGCTGTGGTGTTGGCCACGGAGGCCTTCCCAGGGCCGGTCAGCACTGCCAGCGGGGAAGAGAGACCGCAGGGGACACTCTCCTCCCACACCCCGCATTCACAGTGTCCCAACCCTGGCTCCAGCTGACCCCTTTTCCACCCCTGCAGCCAGCAGTGTTGAGCTGGGTCCTCAGGGCACCCCAGGTGCTGACCTGCTGACTCGGACTCAGGATGAAACCCCAGAGCCCCGCCGCCCCTCTGCGCCCGCCTTTGCAGCCTCGCCTTCACCTGGTCTTTTTTCCTTTGGTACCGGAGATCAAACTCAGGAGTACTTCGCCACCAAGCGCACCCCGGGCCCTTCGTACTCCTTTTTCTCCCCTTGGGGTACCGGCGATGGAACCCAGCGGCCCTCCACCACTGAGCCACACCCCAGCCCTCTTTTGTATTTTATTTAGAGACAGGGTCTCACTGAGTTGCTCAGGGCCTCACCGTTGCTGAGGCTGGCCCAGTTGAATTCGCCATCCTCCTGCCTCAGCCTCCTGAGCCTGAGATTACAGACGTGTGCCACTGTACCCAGGCACCTGGCCTTGATCATGTTGGGTAAAGACCACCTCAGTGCCCACTCAGAGGTAGATGGACCCTGTGGAGGGATTACAGGTTGTCAAGCAAGAGAGGCCCAGCCTAGCCGCAGGTCAGCTGGCCCAAGTGGCAAGCTGCTCTTGTCGAAGGTGCTAGTCAGTCAGACAGAGGAGGACTGCCCACTGCTCCCTCTAGGTGGGGAGGGGGCCTCACTGCCCCGCGCACCTGTGACGCCATCCCTGCTGGGGGCGCGGCAGGGCGGGTGCAGTGATTCCTGTGCTCCGGGGAACCCAGGGGACAGGAGGAGGAAGTGCCGGGGGCTGGGCCCATCCCAGGAGGAAGCGACGGCCGGATTTTCCCCAGGTGTGGCCCGAGTATAAAGAACCGGGCAGCTGGGGCCTCGCCAGGTGCACCCCGGGCCGCTGCCAGGTGTGAGGCTGTGCCAAGCCATGCCTGCCATCTCCGCCGCCACCACCACTGTGCTGGTGAGCCAGGCCGCCCCCCCACAGGGGTGCAGCCTGGCCCCGTGGGACTCGGAGCCCCAAGATGGGTGCTGGGAAGGGTCCGGGACACCCCACCTGGGGAGGGAGAGCCGGAGCCCTGCGTGTGGCTGCCCTAGAGCTGGGGGTGGTCCCTGGCCTCACTCTCCCCGTCTGCGGGGCAGGCTGAGCCGGGTCTTTTCACCTGGAGGCCGGCAGGCTGGCGGGAGTGAGGTGTCCTTGCCGTGACCGGGCTGACCACATGCCTGTCCTCCAGCTTCTCCTTGGCATCCTGCCTCTCATCTGGCTGCCCACCAGCGGAGCCCACCACAGCCACCCACTCTGGGGGGGCCCACACCCCCACAGGACCCCACGCTGCTACTCAGCTGAGGAACTGCCCGACGGCCAGCCCCCCCCTCACCTGCTGGCTCGAAGTGCCAGGTGGGAGCAGGCCTGGCCTGTGGCCCTGGTGTCCAGCCTGGAGGCGGAGAGCCACAGGCGGCAGCCCCAGGGGGCCCTGGCTGGGCCTCAGTGCCCCGTGCTGCGGCCTGAGGAGGTCCTGACAGCCGACACTCACCAGCGCTCCATCTCGCCCTGGAGATACCGGTGAGGGCCGCGGGGCGGGCGGTCCCTGTGCCCTGGACCTCAGCGTCTTCATCCTGGCCTCTCGGTCCACCCCGTCCACCCCAGCCAAGGAAGTGAGGCTCTGTCTTCTGACAGGACCTCAGCCCAGATGTCGGCCCCCAGACCCCCAGGAAGATTCCGACCCCCACCCCAATCCTGTGCTCTTGGCGGCCATGGGGCAGGGACGGTCACCTCTGGGCACGGCTCCCGAGCACAGGGCCTCCTGGCGGGAGCAGGCGGAGCCTGGAGTGCTGAGCCTCACTGTCCTGTCCCCACAGCATCGACACGGACGAGAGCCGCTATCCGCAGAAGCTGGCCTTCGCCGAGTGCCTGTGCCGCGGCTGCGTCAGCACCAGGACGGGCCAGGAGACGGCGGCGCTCAACTCCGTGCAGCTCCACCAGAGCCTGCTGGTTCTGCGCCGCAGGCCCTGCTCCCCCCACGGGGCGGAGGCCACCTCGCCAGGGGCCTTTGCCTTCCACACAGAGTTCATCCGCGTGCCCGTGGGCTGCACCTGCGTCCTGCCCAGGTCGGCACCGTGACACCAGCCTGCTGCCCCGGACCAGGCGCCCCTGCCAAGGGCCCGTGATTTATGTGTATTTATTGTTATTTATGTGCCCGGAGCAGGGCCACCTGGGATTCCAGGGCCAGCACCACTCCGGCGGCCATCTGAGCAGTGCCCGAGCTGGGCATCCCCAGAGTCTGGGTGGGCTGGAAGGCTGCTGTTCCTGGTGCTGAGCGCCTGCCCGGCCGCTCCCTGGCCGCCCCCTGGCCGCAGGCTGCTCCCCTGCCCTGCTTCTCAGCAGCCTCAGGAGGGGGCCACTTTCTCAGACGATTGTTGATTCCCGCTGTGACTGCCATTAAATGGGATGACGCAGTGACGTCTGCACTCCTTCACTTCAGACCTCCACCCGCAGGTCCCAGGGGGCAAGAAGTCTGTGCGCAGCCCTGGGAGGAGACGGGCCTGGGCGCGTGGGCACGGGTGGGCCCTGCCAGCCCTGCGGGTTCACCTACCTGCCCGCAGACGGGCAGCTCCTGCCCTGGGCACGGTGCTGCTCCACAAAGCCCAGCCTCGACCCCCACCTGTTAGCACCTGGAGCACGGGGGCCATCTGTCCTGAGGACCGCACCCCTGAGGATGAAGCCCGGGTTGCTGCCCTTCAGGATGGACAGACCCCCTTGCCTCCCAGGGGGAGCTCACCAGGCCTGGACCTGGGCCCCCTCAGCCTCTGCCAGGGGCTGCTGCCCTCCCACTGTCGGCCTCCGGCTAAGGGGCACTAGCCGTGTGGAAGGTTGCCCGGGCCTCGGTCCTGCCTGTGACCACAGGCCCACCCCACCCCACCAGTGTCCTCTTGCCCTACTGTGAGCGCCGACTGTGTGCCCGTGTGTTAGCGGGAGGCTGTGACAGGAGGCCAGCCCAGGAGCCCCGAGGAGGCCGTCTCTGAGGCTTCCTGGGAGGCGGCCTTTGCCCAGGACTGGGAGCTCCTCGCACAGGGCACTGACCAGGGCAGTGGACAAGACAAGCCCTGCCTCAGCAGGAAGGAGGTGGCAGTGAGGTCGGACCCACAGCTTCCTGCTTGGCTCTGGGGCTCTGTGCCTGCCCCTGAGGACACGTGGGCTCCCACGGCTGGCTCTCCAGCCACAGTGCTGGGGCACGCCAGGGGCCAGGGCTGGGGTCCTTGGGGGCAGGTGGCCCAGGTCAGGGGGCCGAAGAGGGCAAGGGAGGGATCCGCTCCTGAAGGAGGCCCTGAGCTCCCCTGGTGGTGAGAGCCACAGCGCCTGGACGTCCCCAGCAGGGCCCTGGACATCAGAGCACCCACTGCTGAGCAGGTGGCCCACAGGGGAGAGCTGGGCCTCCTGCAGCCTCGGCCACCGAGCTGGGGAAGGGTCGGGGGCCTGGAGTGTGCGGTTCGCTCCCCTGATACTGATCCCAGCCGCCGGGCCCAGGAAGATCCGCACGCGCCAGGCAGTCACTGCGTTTATTGGGGGCGCGGCCGCCCCCTGGCGGCCATGCTGGGGAGTGCAGGCGACATCACACGACCTCGTCAGTCACCGGGATGGGGTTGACCTGGGCACCCCCGCCCACCCCCGTGGCCGCTGCCGCCGCCTCCTCCTCACTCGGCTTCTTGCGGGCCTCGGCTGGGGGACGGGGTGGGGGATTGCTGGGTGGCTGCTTGATGGTGCCTCCAACCTGCGGCCGCTCCGTGGGCCTGGGCTCAATGGGCATCCACTGCTCTCCGCGGATGGCCGCCTGGGGAGAAGAGAAGAACTGTGCCATGCTTCAGGCCCCACTCCCTTCCTCTTGGGGGAGTCCACAAGATCCACTCTGTAGGAGTGACAGGAGTAGGCCCAGAGAGGTTAAGCAACTGGCCTGAGGCCACACAGCCGGGACCTGCACCTGCCTGACTCCAGACCCAAGCTATGCTGCCATATGGCCCCACAGGAGAGATGGGCGTGGATTCCACGGGCTTCTGAACCATCTTCTGGAGACCTCTTCCTGGTGCAAATTCCAAGACCCACAGGGTTCCCAGGCCTCCTTTAAGGGACTAAAGGCCCTGGGGAGGGCCCTCTTCTGCCTGGTGGTGACACCCACTTGCCCTGGCCCTGCCCTGGCCAGCAGCCGCCTTGGGCACCCAGGCATTTCTGCACAGAGGCCCAGGGATTCTGGGGATGCACAGCAGGGTTCTGCTCCCGGGTCCTCTGGGGGAGGCAGACTGCTGGCCCTGCCCGGCCCAGGTGGCTGCCATGGCAGCAGGCCAGCGAGCTGGGGACGTGAAGCTACTTTAGTTCCCGTCAATTTGATGAGTGTTTGTCGGAGCACAAACCTGAGGGAGCACAAGAAGGAGCTGAGCATCTGTGGTCCCCACCCCCACGGTGCCAGGACATTCCCGGGAGGTGCGAGGTGGCAGAGAGGCTAACGCCCGAGGGACGGCCTCGTCCACAGAGGGAAGCAGACACAATGCCCGATACGAGGGCGCTGCCCTGAGAGACAAGGACGAGGCCCCACAGGACAGTGGGCCAAGGACAAACTGCAGACTGTCGGGCTCAGAGCCAGGGTCAGAGAGAGTCCACCCAACACTGTCCATGGCAAGAGCCGCGAGATGCAGAGCAGAGGGGAACCACAGCACTGGCCTGTGGCCAGGGTCCTGCAGTGGCTTTGACCCTGTGGCAGTGGGAGGACAGGCCCAGCAGGCTGAGGCCCTGGGGCCAGCACTAGGAGCAGGAGGGGACTCCAGAGGGAGCCTGGGGCTCGGCACGAGGTGACACTTCCATGCACAGAGCGGCACGGCAGGCTTCCTGGGCACCCAGACAAGCAGCACGGGGGCCAGCTCTGCAGGAAGCCCGTCCTGGGGACCGCACGCTCAGAGTCCAGTGTGGGGGGGCTTACGAGGGTCAGGGGGACACGGTGCAGCATCTGGGGAAACACCGGGTGGTGCGGGGCCTCTCGAGCTCCTTGGAGAGGCAGACATGGCCCACATGGGAGCAGAGGGAAGGAGAATGGGCGGCGTGCCCGGGCCTGCCACGTCCCCTCCGAGCTTCTGCCTACTCGTCCACCACCCTGCGTCCACCACCCTGCGGGGCTGAGGCAGGCTTAGATGGGAAGGTGCAGGGAGAGGGCCCAGCCTGCATCCGATGTGTGATGACTGGCAGAGCCACAAGGGTCAAGGATGGGGACCGCAGAGGACATACTCACCAGCAGGTAGATGACACTGGCGATGGCCAAGCAGACAGTGCCGAGGATGGTGGCCAGCAGGAAGCCTGCAGGCACGGACAGCCTGGGGGGGCAAGAAGGGCCATCAGAAAAGGGCCAGGTGAGCTCGGCTGGCCGACTGCGGGCTGTCCCAGGACCCCAGCAGGGAGAGCGGCTCTGCCCAAGGCCCGGGTCCAGGGGGCAAGCCTCTCTCTGGGGTGCACCTTGGCCCTGCAGCCAAACCACCACATCAGGAAGCCTGCAGCTGTGGCACAGCTGGCCCTTCCAGCTGGCCCAGGCAACTGCAGGACGCCGGGCCCCAGGAGGAGCACTGAGCTGAGCCAGTCAGCCAGGGACCACAACTGCTATGGGGGTGGGGGTACCGTCACACCCATAGACAACAGGCGAAGGGAACTCGGCACCTGCCAGAGTCAGGGACCTGGTTTTAGTTTGGAAGACCACCCAGTGGGGGCAGCCAGGCCAGCCTCCTCTCAACCTGCGGACTGGGGGGTGGGGGTGGGGGACGGGACTCACAGGAGGTGCAAGACGGCCCGGATGTAGTAATTCCTGGTGAGGGGCCCGAAGAGCTTCACCACGGTGGTCATGCACTTCTGCCCACTGGACCCAGGAGGAAGACAAGCATGGGGCAGGGGGCCATGCCAACGCAGGACACAACCCCCGTCCCTCCCAGGGCCCTCAGCCCTTCTTCCTCCCAGGCTTAGGGACGCGGAAGCCAGGAGACACTGGCTGG